TCGAATCCCACGCGATGTTCTGACGTCACCATGTATCGAATCCCACGTGATGTTCTGACGTCACCGTGTATGGTGCAATGTATCCACGATGAACTTCGATGAAATATGTTTAATAATAAAGATTCCGAACATGCTAACCAGCAGACCTATACAGAACAAAGCATTCTTGTAGATATGTTCCTGGTCAACGCTACAGCCGCCGATTTTTTGTTGGCTGAGTTTTTATTGCAGAATTTTATAAAAAAAAACAAAATAAAAAAAAAAACCAAAAAAAAAAAAAACAACGATTTGATCAGAAACATTTTTCGCCAAACTTGTCAAGAGAAATCCTATTGGTTGACAACTGAATGCTAAAATGGCAAATTTAATGAGAGCTAATATAAATAACTATATCAATATATACCAAACAACCGCGGTGTATTGCAGGCCTTGTAGCCTAATACATAGAATTTCTTATACTACAATTGATATGCGACAGTTACAAGCGATCTGTATTCTTTCTAGTATAAAACCAAGTAATCTGATTGATTCTTGCTAGCTGCTACGAAAGTTACACATGAATACATTTAAAGTCGCATTGAATACACCATTCAATTCTCACAACCTTGCACAACTAGTATTCCATGCACAATAGAATACACGGCATGGTAAATACGATGGGAAATCAAAGTAAACATTGTACTATGCGCGTGAATCGAACCGATACTCGAATACGGCATCGATTCGCATAGCTTCTAGACACAGCATGCCATCCCTCCCCAAAAGAAAACACGACCATGCCGATCCACGTAACACCAGTTTCTCGCAACCTTCATAAAAAAACTAAAAGTATTTAACATTTTCGGGTAAAGTTATAATAATTCTCAATTATTTTGCCAAAATAACACCAGTCAGAATTATACCTAGGAACAGAAAACCAGAGAGGAACCGATCTATAGCTTAGTTGAATAAGTCGTTGACTTGTAGAGTCGTTGAGAGGCACAGATTGACTCACTTACTCATGCGAATTTAAGGACAACCATGTTTAAATATGATGCGTAGACGTCAGGTACGACCACGCCTAGGTGACGCTTGGATAGCCGCAATATGAAGATGGTCACACAGCCCTGTCATATAGTCCTGCACACGGAATACGGTTTCTGTGTCAAAATACACTCAACTAACATATAAATACAATCAGCACTTACACTTTACACTTACATAACAAATCAAGCGAGACAACTGTCGCCTGGCAACACAAAAACATAGTTTTTAGTTTTAGTGATAAAAACATTGAAGTATAATAAACAGAACCATTAAATGCTGACATTGGACAAACAAATAAATTCACATGTGCTTATTAGCCAAAGTCAAGGCCCGTAGCGCATAAAATATAGTAAAAAAATTCGCTTTCTTAATGTCGTTTCCCATCAAAAGTGTAGCCACACATCTAACGCTTAAGTGCTAACGAACGTCCCTCAAAGGACAATGACTGAAACTGGCGTTATTGTTTCAAGATTTTACTGTATTTATTCAGGAGTTATATGTTAAGTCCCTCAGAAGTGATGAATAGTTTTTGCAATATGGCTGTATCGGAAGCACTAGGGAGGGGTAATTATTTTTCAAAATAATTATAGCAATATTTTTTTTATCCGTTTACCAACTCTATGTTTTTAAATGTCTACTTCGTGGATCATCGTAACGCACACTTATACATATATGTAACAATAAATACAGCATGTCATATTGATCCCAATTAACAATTCCAAATACATCCCTAACATCTTTCGTATACATTCTTTTATTTTATTTTTTTATAATTTCTTTGTTAATTTTGTTAAAATCGAAACGTACAGGTAGTATTCACAATGTCATTCGATGTTTGAAAAGTTAATCCGTTACGAGGAATGTGTTATTACGAATTATTTTTTAATGAAATCATAATAAAAAAAATATGTCATAAGATATGTTCCTGTTTGGAATATTTTCAACAGTATTTAGAATTTTTGTCCAAACATAGAAACTTGACTAAAAACATTGTCTTTAATTATCATGCGTGATGTCGTGTAGCAACACCCAGTCTCGTTCTAGAACTTGAAAGCCATGGAATTGACCTACTAATTTAATTAGTTTTAGGTGATTTAAAATAGTCAATACAAATTTGACCCCCAATGTATAGAAATAAATCAGGCAATCAATTTAAAAACGAATTGTCGAATAGAAGTAAAATTCAAAAATCTCATTTATGATTTTTTTAAGAAATCAACACGAAGTGGTTTGTCTCATTTCTACGAATACTTGATTGGATGCAACTATTTTCGAATACGCAGACAATCCAGTAATGAATGGTTAACAACTGAACTGAACTCGGTGAGAATTAAAAGCACTGGAGGCTAACCTGAAGTAAGTTATGAAAAAGATTACGAACTGGACGAAGTAAGTTACGAAGTAAGATTAAATTAAATTAAATTAAAAGGATACGAAATCAACAATTGAAAAAAAGTTACAGTTTAACAATCACACCCATCTGAGAAAAGCGGCATTATTTGACAATCTAAGAAATAAACTTTCCGGGAATATTCTAGAATAAAAGAAATATAAAATTGTATTTTATATTTGACAAGATTCGTGTACCAGCTCTCAAGCGCTGTCTAAACTCAGGAAAGAATTAATATAAACATTCGATACGTTCGGAAGTTGACTTCCGCGATCGGAAAGAAGAAAATCGCCATTTATGATTGCTCTTAAACCGCTGTCATTTGTAGTCCATTAGACGTGCTTCCAAATGACTGGCGGTAGAAATTAAGAGGAGTTCGTCGTCGACAGTTAAATGGCCGATCGACTGCCTGCTTGCCTGCCTGCGCGCTTGTAATGCCGCCACTTAGCAATCGATAGAATCGAGTTAATTGAATACAATGCGTTGGTAAGGATCATATGACAAC